TGATCTCACTGCCCTTGTTAACACTCCTGGAATATCATAAATCTGAAATTGTTGCCCCACATGATTTTTAGATTGAGCATTATTAAAATTATGAAATACAATATAATTTCAATTGAGCATTTTTATTAAAGTTACCAAATTAATAATATTTAGATTGAGCATTATTAAAATTATGAAATACAATATAATTTCAATTGAGCATTTTTATTAAAGTTACCAAATTAATATTGATATTTAGATTGAGCATTATTAAAATTATGAAATACAATATAATTTCAATTGAGCATTTTTATTAAAGTTACCAAATTAATATTGATATTTAGATTGAGCATTATTAAAATTATGAAATACAATATAATTTCAATTGAGCATTTTTATTAAAGTTACCTGATATTTAAATTGAGATTAAAATTATGAAATACAATATAATACAAACAATATAATTTAATTACTTGTTTAGGCGTTAATCCCATAAATGACCTACTTGCTTCTAATATGTAGTCACACAATCTAGATTCTTCTTCATTTGTAAATATTTGTTTATGATGATCTGAACTTTTAATACCAATTTTACATCTCCTTCTCAACGTTGTATAAGGTATGTTAAATTTTTTAGCAGACAAATTTAATGAAGTATTATTTGTTATTTTATATTTTATGGCTTCATTTATTATATTTACATCTCTGTATATGGTTTTTCTTTTAAAATTTCTCATTATTTGATTGATACTAAAAATTATAATAAATGAATTAATGAAAAATTAATGTGAATAATTTTATATTTTAACCGTTTTACCCATAACAGCTTTACCCCTAGGTGACATATATTATAAATATCGTTATTGCGTGACTTCTAATATAGCTAAAGATGTCAGATAAATTTTATTTTATAGCTAATACATTAAGGAACATGTGTGCCAAATTTTGAATCCTGAGGATATGTAAATTTTACTAAAAGCAAAATATACTAGAGAATGATTTTTATATTTTTTGGGTAAAAAACAGTTTTTTGACAAAATATATAAAACCAGGTAAGTTTTTTAAAAGATGAACATAGGTAAGAAATTAGATATAAAAATACATCTTCACATTAAATTTAAGGTCTTTATACTCAATGGTTAAAAAGTTATTCGCGTTAACATTGTTACCCCGTCAATCGCTTTACCCCGGTCTCCCCTACCCTCGTTCTTTTTATTCGTTTAAGAGGAGGATATATAGACGGATAAATAGATTTCTTTTTATAAATAAGACGAATCAAGACATGGACAAAATGCCTTTTAACTCAGATTTCTGGCATTTGAAAATATTGAATATTAAATTAAAAGTTCAAATTGAAGTGGATCACTAAATTTGAATTAATGTGAGCATTACGAAGAAATTAAGAATAGGGCCGCTACCGTCTTCTCCTGACACGTTCCTAGGAACATCTCCTTTTTATAGTAAAAATACCAACGGACCGAACTGAGCAAGGACAAAATTTATGTTATGAACCTTTTACTCCTAGTCAAAATTGTAATAAAAATGTTTTACCATATCCGAGTTAACCAAAACGTAACCTGCCATGGAGATATTTGAAAATATTTTTCCTGTAGGGATGGGGTTTCGGATATTCTTTTAGCTAAAATAGATGTATATAACTTAAATTCAAATGACAAGATATTTAATCTAAATTAACAGAAAATCAAAATATATACGTATAAATTACGATCACAAACAATCATTAATTTGTATAAAAATATTTTTTTTTAAAAAAAGAAGAATAATATAAGATAAGATACTAGATAAGATACTAGATATTACATATTATTCAATTCAACAATTGTTTTACAGAAATTATGATAATTTTGGAATACGATGCCAAATTAGTTAGTCTAAAGTATAAAATATCTAAATTATGTAAAAAGATAATTTATTTTTGGTATATTTTGTGCAGTATATAGTATGATTGATATTAATATTCATGAAACTATAAGGATATATTTTAAAATGAAAAGAAATTGATTTTCATATTTTAAATGAGTTGTCCTTTTCAATATTCAGTATTTTTTTCTTGGCCAGTTTAAGGAAGATACCTTTTGATTAATTTCACTATAAAGGAGAGTTCTAGAACTTAAAAATGGGGTGGTATCTTTTTTTTGTACATTTAGAAAAATATCGAGGAGTTTGACTAATAATTTTGACTATAAGTTAAACAAGGGATTTGAACTCGAACCGGATCCTGATCCATCCTCGTATTTTTGCTGAACCCAACCCCGCACCCTTTTTAATTGCGGAGGGTTCTAAGTGTCAAAAATTATCAAAAATTTTGAAAATTAAATTAAATTTTTTTTTCTCCGCAGCATTTTTACAAAATTTGCTGGTTTTATATTTCCATTTAATATTATTAGTGTGCGATTTAAATAAAACATTTAAATTATAAATTAATAGTTTTGTGTATTTTATGGAGTATATAAAAAATAAATAAATGGAAAAAATGGATGTTATTAGTCAATATTTCTTTATGTTTTCCAAACCCTTTCTCATATTTTATTCCTGAACCCAGAACAGGACCCGAACCCCCTTTTTTTTATCGAAGGGTTCACATCCCTGAAATTAACCAAAATATATATATAGGTGTAAGGGCAAGTCGAAAGTCATAAAATAATAATATCAAGGTTACCATTTTAGTATTATCTGTTCCGTTGAGGCTAAAGTGCGTTAACCTCTTATTTTTATTACTTTTTTTTGAATTTGAACGTACCTTACCCTATATTAATCAATATTCGAAATATCTTATGAAATTAATCAATTATATGTTTTCAATAATACATTTAATATAACGGTTTATTTCCCTCCCTTTTTTAAAATTAATCTTTATCAAACTCGATAATCTCATTTAAAGTTTTTATTTAAAAAATACCTTAATCAGTAAAAGAGTTTGATTCGCTATTACACTTTAGAGGTCTGCAATGGAAGGGTTTTGTTAAGTGAGGAAAAAATGTGGAGACACCCGGGCTCTTCGGATTACTAGACACTTGAGTCCAATTCTATTTATGAGAAACCTAATTAAATCTAAGTTTTTAAATTTAATCCTATTAGGAAAAAAATTAATATACGTCAACTCACTTAAAATTTGTTTCCAAAAACATGTTTTTTTGACAAAATTATAAAAAAAATTTGTTCAGCTTTCGTTTGGTGTTAGTTTTATATTATAATAATAATAACTATTACTATTTTTTTAATTTATAATTTGTTAAAGTAGTTGGCTAAAGGTCCTTCTGATTGGAGCATGGGGCGAAGTCCTCCTCCCCTCTCCCCATTCCATAACTCCTACCACACCCTCCCCCCTCTTGGATCGCCACTGATAAAATATATGATGCATAAATATGGATCAGCATGCTTATATATACAACTAGATCAGATAAAATATATTATGTATGCAACTTGGATTCATTTATTTATACCAATTTGATTAACTATTGATTCAGAATATTATATCCAATTTTTAAATAAATACAAAAATAGAAACCAATGCTAGTTTTTAAATAAATTTGATAAATAAATATTACTAACCTAGAGAACTATAAATTATAGCTCTGTTAAGATCTTTCTGAATACGATCATATATTTCTCTTGCAATCGGTAAGGTTAAATTTAGTCTTTTATTTTCAGATCAGGCCAAATCTATAAAATAGATCTGATACAAAGCTAGTCATTGAAGAGTTATTAAATGATACTTTTCAGATATATTTGGATAAGTTATTACTTTTATATAAATATGTATAAATAAGATACAAATACATATAGAACATTTTTGTTTCCTCATCCAAATAATATTTAAATTTATACTTTCAAAGCGAAAAGACATCTTAAATGTATGCTCAATCTGGCATACAAAAAATGATCAAAGGACGTCTAGATCCCAGAAAACAATGTTAACCTGCATTCACAGTTAAGCGTGAATCCGTGGCGAAGTATATAAAAATACACAAAAATACAGCATATTTTGTCGCACTAATGTGAATGCAAGGTAAAGCGGGTAAAAAGCTGCCAGATATTTAATTAAGGAAAACATGTTTGCAATCATAAAAATTTTTTAATGAAGATGATTTTATCCTCTGTGAAGCAGATTATAATTCTAATCATCAAAATGAAGAATAGCTAGAATGCAGAATACGTAATGGGTAAGCTTATTTATTCTGTGCCGCTCATGATTATAAAATTTTATGTTTTATTGTAAAGAAAAAAATCTTTATAGATAATAAATTTATAACTTAATCAAAGACCTTACCGTACCAGGGTGCTAATAAACCAAAAACACTTGAACTGTTGACTTTTCTAGACTGTATATTTACATTTATGTAAAAGCCATCGACTCTTGTTCTAAAAGAAAATTAAAATAATGAAAATATAAAATTAATTATATTATCCAAATAAAGTTTCATGGTCATTACCATTTGGTTCAAACACAAATATTTATCAATTTAATAAATAATGAAAGAAAAAAAAGTTTTTTTTTGGAAGACAATTCAGTTTTTTAAATATATATGATTTTTTTCCTCTAAAAAATTAGGATAAAGTAAGTATTATATCTTAAATAAAAGAAGAAAAGGAAGGAATTTGTTTATTTGTTTTAATAACAAACAAGTTTAAATTTCAATTTAGGAAACTTGTCGGAAAGTTTTATATTTTAGAAAAAAAAAAAGAAGATTTCAATAGGAAAATAACAATTTTATTTTGTTTTTTTCTAAATTTATGGTTTTAATAAATCGTAAATAATTATCGAGGAGGATATTTTTTAAATTTTAAGATTTTTGGCTGATTTAACAACTTTCGATATTTGCGATGAAAAATGCGTCGTCCCTGATCTTCGGGAAAATAGAAATGAAAGGAAAGTGAAGGAAAATACATTTTTATTTTAGTAGGTAGGAATGAGGGGGTAGGTGGTAATATCGTCATTGGCTTAGGGTGGGGAAACGTAAAAGGTACGGTATAACTATATTAACTTTTTATTTTTAAAGGTACGGTGATATGGTTCCCAAGACGATAACGGGTAAAATAGTTGGAGGCGTTTGCTCATTGAGCGGTGTATTGGTGATAGCATTACCCGTTCCGGTTATAGTCTCTAACTTCAGTCGAATATACCATCAAAATCAAAGGGCCGATAAACGCCGAGCCCAAAAGGTTAATATTTTGAAAGAAAATCTAAAAGGATTGTTAAATATTTATTAGATAGGATGGCCACAAATAGTTACTTTTTAAAAGCATTAATTTTTATAGTTATATTTCATAATTATACACAATAATTGAGAATGATTCAAACTTATTTGATTAAATGCCTATATTTTCATTATAAATTCATAGCTAATAGTCTAAGGATTAGCACTCCTAACTTTGCATATTGGAAGCCTTATTTATTGCCTTTCCCCTAGCTGCAAATCATACATTCGCCAGTTTATACCCCTTTCATCCACATCTTGTTATCGAAGTGAAATTTAGGATAATTTTATTTTTCCAAATACTTCTTCTTGTACCAAAATACTCAGATGTTTTACCCAATAATGTCTCCATAGCTAAAATTATCCTTTTTTATAACGATCTCATTGTATTTTAATGTAAAGTGAAAATCGGGTTCCGAATTCCTCAATACTACCCTTCATAAATCTCCATCCGCATCTTTCCAATGACGAGTTGAGATTCGAAATTTGACTGGAGTTTAGCTATAAAATTGCTCTGCCATATATTTACAAACAGTGTAAATGTAGAACTAACGTTGACCGCAAAGATAGGTTTCATTCCAGATTTATCCATGGGCAATTTTCATGTGTAATAGTAATTTCTTTTGGATATTGAACCCATTAATATTCGGGCTACCGAAAGTAAACTCACTGAAGGTTCCTTTAGTGTTATTAAAAAGCCCCATTTGGGGTCGCTTTTTAAAAATGGGCTAATTAAGATTTTAAACAAAATAATATTATTTAAGCCTTGAAATTTTGCTTATAGGGGAAAAAGTTTGGTCATGTATTTGCCAAATCTCGAGACTTACATGTTATTATTTTGGGTAAAATCTTAATCAAGCCACTTTTAAATATATACCAAAATCAACCTTTTTAACAACACTAATTCCTTGAATAAAAGATAATAATCTATCATCACTCCATCCAACCATAATCTCGGAACCCTTGTTTTTGACAGATTAAGGTAACTTTCCAAATATTGTATTCATTTTTTTCTCTATTCTAACATCTTTTATATTGTCTTTAAACGCAAATTTTTATAGTAGCGTGTTAAAAGCAACGCGCTCTACCCCTACCTCTATTTGGAGACAAAAATACCCTCCTACCTTTACCTCTATTTCTTTTTAAAGTAGTGCTCTATTAGCTAAAATTTAAATTCATCTTTTATTTATTCTAATCTATTTCTATAAAATGGCATTTTAAATTCAAACATGTAAAAAAATATCGATATTAAAATATGACTAAAAATGTAAATTACATGCTTTATTTATTTTTGCTATATTTCGATAACAATATTATCTCTACATTATCATAACAGCTTAAATACACTATCACTTGTCAGTGTCATCTGATAGATCCAAATTAATGACACTTTCATTTTTTGAAAACTATTCAAAATTTTTGCACGGTCTGCCGGTAAGATATCTTCTTACTAGAAGATAATGATCTTAATAAAATGAATGAATGAAGGATTATCTGTTAAGGAAATTGACAGAATATCAATTAAAAAAAATTAATTATGACTCTATTAGCCAATATTCGAGAAACAAGTTTGAATTAAATTTCATTTATTGTATTTAATCTCTTTTGTTGCACTAAAATTATTGAGATATTCTCTGAAATTTGAGGCATGAATTAATTTTTTATAACTAAAGCGCTTTTGAACTTTTTTCTTAGAAACGGCTTGATTTATTGGACATTTTTATCCCTCCACATTTGATACATCTAAATTTTAATCCGATTTTTTTAAATTTTATATTATTGATTTATTAGAAAAATAATGTTTTAACAAATTTAGGAAAAAGAAATTCCACAATATCATTTTTTCTAGTGTAATTTAGTTGTTATCATCTGTCTCAAAATTCTCTTTCATATCAATCTCATCATGTATATAACCTTGCGTTCACAGTTAGCTCAAATACGCGGCGGGTATACAAAATATTATATGAATATAATAATTTTGCATTAATTTTCTGTATACTTTGTTGCCAATTCGCGTTAACTGTAAATGCAGATTTTGAAATATAAAATTAGATTTTAAAATTTAAATTAAAGTGTTAAAAATGTAAGTATAATTTTAAAATTGATTATGAAATTATAAATGAATTTTAATATTTTTTTTTTAAATAACAAAATAAATAGCGTGCCTACTTAATTACTCGCTGCTATTTTTTCTAACTTTATTTATACTTCATTATTATATATATTACATTAATTTTTACCATATTTAGTAACAATTACGACATTTTCTAAAAAAGTATATTTATGTTTGTTTAGTTATTGTTGAAAAACACTTTCTCAACACTAGTTTGATAACTATTATAAATTCAAATGTAAAACTTTTATTATACAATTACTAATTTTATAATAAGGTTAAAATCATTTGAATTATGATTAAAATTTATTTTTTAAATATGATCTAAATTCTTAAAATTACACAATAATACAAAAAATGATTTTCAAAAATAATGTTTAAACATAGTTTTATTCCTTACAAAGTATATCTACGGTGGAAATTTTGAGAAAAAAATCTTTTGGTTGTTTTAATATAAAATATTAAAAAAACTCAAGAATTACGAAAAACACCCGGGGCCCCTATTACCCTATCGCATTGCTTGTCATAACGCTTCTTTATTTTTAGATTTTTTAAAATTTTCTTATAAAAGTGTTAATCCTATGTAATAAATTAAATTGTCAACAAGATTCATCTATATGTATATATCACTCGGAATTACATGTTGTCACTTAAAAATGTCATATATTTAAAAAAAATAAGTCAATTATCTTCATATTGTCATTCTAGACCCCTAAACTCGTGTCTTCTAAAGTTCTTATAGATATAGTTTAGTTATTTTTTTATTCAAAATAATTCGTGGTAAAATGGTTAATAACGCATAACGCACCCCGTCAAAACTTGCTCTAGGTTTTCATATTTAATTAAAATTTAATTTCATGATATTGAATTACCATAAATGTTGTCAATATTTTTATACATGATAAAATCGAGATATCTATCGTTTAGAATTGATATTTATTAGTCTGTGTAACTTTTATAAAAAATTTTTATTAAATTAAAATTTAAATATGCATTTAGGACCTTTTCTTGAGCATATTTCTGCGAAACATTTTTAGAATCATTGAAGAATCTTATTAAAATACATTTATGGTTTAAATTTTAAATATCAAAGTTCAATTAAGAAATTACCTGCCCCGGGATAACACTATCCCCGGTCTCCCCTAATAATGTTTTCTGACGCAAACTGGAATTCTGGAATTAAGAAATAAAAAACGAATATTTGTGAATGAACAATTGAATATAAATAGTGTTCTTAAACGGTTCGATTTGAGCCGATTTTTAAAAACGGCTAATTCAATTTTTATTCAGAGAAATATTACGCAAGCCTGAAGATTTTTTTTCTTATGTGGCACAAAGATTTGGACATCTAGTAGCGAAATCTCGAGGTTTAGGCGATTCATTTCTAGCTAAAATATTGAATCAACCATTTTTTAAAGGCTCAAATCCAGCCGTTTAACAGCACTATAATATAATTAAATTTAAAAAAATTAAGATTTTAAATATTCTATTTGGTAAAGTTTTAGAACTGTTCCGTGAAGGATCCTTTCACGTTCTAAAGTTTTACCCAAATTCCGTTCTCTGAAAACTTTCGGTATGTTCCGTTCCATGTCCTTTGTTTGATAGAATATATAAGCGGAAACTACAGTAATAATATGATATGTTGTAACACATTTTCATAATGTGAATAAACATTCTTATATAGTTAAATAACTTTCCATATTTATTGTAAAATCATTTTAATAAAATTTAAAAAAAATTTTGACATAATATTTTTTAAATTTTTTTAATAATAAGAGTTTTTAAACTTTAATGATGATCAACGTCAAAGTTATGAATCGAATATAATTTTTTTATGTTTTAGACCCAAGTTTAAGTGGGAAAATTAGAATAAAATTTTCTAAGATTTTTAGAATAATTTTTTTTTTAAATGCATTGTAAATTTTTTTAAATTTAAAGTATTATTACAATATATTAATGTTACTTTTAATTATCTAAAGATTGGAAATCAGGATAAGAAATTTGATAATTTCTTAATAAACATAAGTGAAAGAAAATTCGAATTTAGGGTTTTCAGATAATTCTTATTTTTTTTTTTTTGGTTTTAAAATTAAATAAAATTTAAAATTTAATTGTTGTAGTTGCTTTTATTAACCTAAAATGACGCATACCAAAAATCATAGAGATGTGCCACCAACCATTCTACCCATAACGGAAGCCCCGACACTTCAATTTAACTTTCCGTAATTATTGTAAAAACTTGTTGAGAAAAAATACATCCTTTTTTAAAAAAACTTTTAATAACTTGAAAGAAAATTTTGAGAAAAACATTTTATTTTTAAAAACTTCCGGTAACCTATGCACAATAGGAATAAGTGGATTGAAAAAATTCACAATAGTAGATGGGGCTTTTACTGCGGGCATACCTGGATGAATTATTCGCACTTTTACCATCAAATTCATTACTTATAATGGATAATGCTCCTATACATCGAGAGCGGATAATTAGTGAGAATTATCCAAATATCATATTTTTGCCACCCTATTCGCCGCAATTAAATCCGATAGAAAATTTTTACGGAGTAATTAAAAATCAATGTAGATCAAATTCTCCTAAACCCAATAACCGAAATGAAGTTATTTCAATTGTTACGAGTATTTTAGGCAAATATTTTACATATAATTTTTTAAATTTTATTCTCACACCATAAAGTTTATTGAAGAGGGAATTCAATGCATTCCTTTAAATGATTGAATTTGTAATTGATTTATATTGTGTAATATTTTATTTACAAAGAATAAATAAATAATAAATGGTTTTTTTTATTTTTGTGTTTCGAATTGATCATAAAAAATTCTGAACAAATAAGAATTATCTGAAAACCCTAAATTCGAGTTTTCACTCATGTTTATTTAAGAAATTATTCAAATTTCTTATCCTGATTTCCATTCTTTGGATAACTAAAAGTAAAATTAAAATATTGGAATAATGCTTTAAATTTAAAAAAGGTATTGTAAAAATATTAGAAATTTTTTTTATATAATATCTTTTAAAATTCTAATTTTTCCACTTAAAAACTTATGTCTAAAACATAAAAAAAAACTATATTCGATTCATAACTTTGACGTTAGTCTTCATTAAAGTTTAAGAACTTTTTTATTAAAAAAATTTTTTTGAATTCTCATTTTTCCACTTAAACTTGTATCCAAAAAAAACTATTTAATTCATAACTTTGATGTTAGTCTTCATTAAAGTTTAAAAACTTAAAAATTAAAAAAAAAATTTAATTTATATCAAAATATTTTTTACAATAATTATCAAAAGTTATTTAACTATTATAAGAATGTTTTTTCACATTATGAAAATGTGTTACAACAGATCATATTATTACTGTATAATGGTTAATAAAATAAGGTAATTCAACCAACCCCTGTTCCTATCTTTTTTTTGTACTTTAAACATTTGAATCCATAAGTTTTTCCTTTCCTAAATACCAAATATTATAATATTTTCCATATGGCATTTCATTTTCAGGATATAGTTGAGTGAAAGGATAGATAAAACATTTCTATTTCTAATCTTACAGAAAACCTGAAAAATAAAAATATAAAATATAATAATTATATTAACTTTTAATATCAAAGAAAGTTATTCCATTTTTTTTCCTTTAAAATCTCAAAGGGATTTTCGGAAAAATATTATGCATATTTAGATTAAGAAAGAGAATCTTTTATTTGTAAAAGTTTAGTATATCTACATTGCATAATTATGTTTGAATAAATTGCTATGATTTTAATAATAAAAATATTATGAGCAATAAAAAAACATAATCATAATCACAGTTTTCATTTTAGAGACAAATTTTGGCCGAGTTTCTGTTTTTTTTTTAAAAAAATATTTTTGATTCGTATTATAAATATAATTAATGCGTTTTGTCAAGAGGATCTGTTGTTAGGGCATATCTCTATTATTATGATTAAAAATGGAGGGATGTTAGTTATTTTAATTAGTTATCATGATAGGTTGGTGTGATAATTCTTACATATAATCTGGAATCGAATGAATCCTTTATGTTGAAAGTTAATTTTTATCCACTTGTCAATTATACTCTTAGTGTTTTTGGTGATGTCACATGATTAGGAAGAAAATTAAACCAAATAAATGGCGATCATAATGAAGCCTTCTATCAAACAAGCCATTACGATGCCTGTTTCATATAGCAATGCAAGGCCGATCTCTTTATTGTTTTTTTAATTCAGTGGGTTTTTTAAAAAATATTTATATATATATATATGCAGGCAGTATGCACTATATTTTTGTAATAGTTAATTGTATTTTTTATATGACCTTTGTTTTAAATTTGTTCTAATTAGAAGTAGTCGTCAATTTTATGTTTTCCTTCTCCTTTTTAGTTTGGCCCGTTTCCTTCTTTTGTTTGACACTTTTCCATTTTTGATTGACACTTTTACTTTTTTGATCGGACTTTTCCCTCTTATGATTTACACCTTTTCTTTTTTGATTGGCACTTTTCCTTTTTTTGGAGGGGAAGCCATGAATAGAGGATAGCTAATATAAGATCCTTAAAATAATTTGCATTGTGGGTAAATTATTATTGATAATATTGTTTTCCTTTAAATAAATGTATTCGCAATATATTTATTGCTCAGCGGTAATGCGCTAAATGACCTCGCTATAATACATTAGCGGTAAAAAATTTGTTTAAATGGGTTCGCGATCAAATTTTCGCCAAAACGTAAGCGCTCTAAAATATTTAGGCCGTATGGTTTCGTGATAAAAATTTGCGGATTTGGTTTCGCGATAACACTTTTGCTTTAATTCGCGTACAAAATTGACCTGATACAGAAATTTTGGTAGGTATATTTAGATAAAAAAAATATCAATCGCTCTCTATTTTAATCTATATGAGGTTCAAAAAATCTTTGGTTTTAGCAAAGTTTAAAAACTTAAATCTTTTAGAGGGTGCATTTTTAAAAAATTTTTCTTTTAAAAGACCTGTTTTTGCGTATTTTATTTATATGTAACAGTCAACTCGAAAAATCAGTCAAAATGATTTATATTTAAAAATTTGTTAAACCCGGGATCAATGAAGCATAAACAACCTAATTCGCTAAATCCCTACGACAAATACTACAAAAAATATTTTCTAAAATACGATCTCTTCTTTTTTTTTAAGCTTTTGTCCAAAGTAATAACGGTATTATTTCATGTTCATTGTAGTATTAATAATAATAATCTAAAATTTATTTAATTAAATTATCAAACCATTTTATTTTCACTTCTAAATTGGATCTTTTTCAATATCTTCCTGTTGTGTGAAAAGGAGAAATTATATTGATTTTCCATTATTTATAAGAAAATACTTACTCCTATTTCATTTGTTCTTCATGCCTTTATTTTAAGGGAGGAGCCTGATAAATTAGTTTTTGTTTAATTATCTCTTAATTTTGTTTAAAATATATAAATAAAGTCCTGGTTAACCATTGACACATAAAAACTATTAGGTTCTAATTCACGTTGTTCAGACTCAAATAATACCATATAAGCACTTTCCCTTGTGTAACAAATAAAAGTTGTGTCATTAACAACGCATAATTAATAGTTTTTTTTAGAATATTATACAAAAAATAAGCGATATAAAATATTGAATATTATAATAATTAAGGTATAACGTAATCTTCAATAGCGTCACTAAGGAGGGGGTGCAGGGGCGACCCCCTCCCCCGAAAAATTTGAATAGCCCCCTCTAAATTTTGAAAAATTCTTTCTTATGCCAAAAAGAAGGTCATTTTGAAAATGTTAGCTAAAAAAAATTTTTTGAACACCTTGAGATTGTAAAAACAAGTGACAACCCCGATAATCTTATCCCAAAATAAGATTGTTTTTGCTTGTATATGTATGTAGTAAAGCTTTTATACAAATTCGTAACGAAAAAAAAGAGGCAAATGAACACATATTAAATTTGTAATATTATAACAATGGTATTAATCCTCTAATAGTTTTTGGTGGAGAGGGGGACGGGTTGAGTTAGGTATTATTCCCGGAATTACGATTATTAATGTCAAGTTAATAATTTATGTTTGGTAGTCATTTCACTTTATTTTTTGATGGTATATACTAGGGGGAAAATTTTAATATTGAGATATATAGTATAATCATCAATCGAGGAGATGATATTTTATTTTAAATAATGCGATTTAACCGGAATAGCATGCGTGGAACGAACCTACCCTCTAAGAAATTCAGTATTTTTCGCCATAAACATTTTGTGTATTTTTTAAAAAAATTTATATGAAAAATCCCCTTAAAAATCATTATAAATTAAGAACAGGTATAAAATTAAGTTCGAGGCAAAATTGCTTGAAATTCAGTGCAAATCAATGATGTATATATGCTACTAGATTAGCGATTCATCCATTAAATTCATTAAAAAGCGTCCACACATAGGAGACAGCTGTAGCGCCACTTTGTAGTTTGCACGTCGATTCATTTCATTAGTATTTTATACATGCGGAAATATTCCGATCAAAACATTTTTTTTTAAAATTTAAAAAATCGCTTTCAGTATGATTTTCCGTATCCGTGAATGCAGAGCAATATGACATAGAAACAAATATTAATCAAAACTATATATTTTCCAATTTTTTAATTTTATACATATTGCATTCGAGATGGTAATGAAAACTGGTGTTATGGTAGAGGTAATAAATAGTAATAGATTATAAGGAAAAATTATTCTAGGGAAGATGTTCTAATCTTACAAAAATAAATTCTTAGATCATTCTTTTCGAGAATTTGGATTCCTGAAAAAAATGTAATTAATATTTCCGTGTTGAATAGAGTGGGGGGGCAAGGATCCGATCTTCTAGATCAAAGAATTGAAGAAGCTAGTTCCATGGAATTAGCCATTGGTTTCCAACAACAGAAGTTATAGCTTTGGCCAATGGGCATGACGATTCCAGGACTCCTAATATAGGTGGGGGGGGGGGGGTGAAACAAGATTGTCATGAAATTGAATGGTTTAGAAGGGGGTAGTTGTTAGGAGCAGATAGAAGGCAATTTGTTTTGATTGATTTAGGGAAATTTAGAAGTCCCTATGGTGAAGAAGATAGTTGACAAATCTAAATTTTTTATTTATTCTCAAAGATATGATCTAACTTTTTATTTGGCATTTTAAGTTTATTACCCCAATGGCATAATATGTTCAGTTTCATACCATCCAATTTATATAAAATGAATGATGAGTTATATTATAAATAAATATCTCGATTTCCCCAAAAATTATGTGTTGTGAAAAATTTTTTTTACTAATTTATTTTTAAAATTGTAGAATGTAGATTTTTATTTAATGTTCTAAGATATTTTATATAAATTTTTTTTTTTAAAAAAATAGGAAAATCTGAATAATTTAGAGTGTAAAAAAAATCAATAATGTATTATTTATAAAAAAATATCTTCCCTTTTTGCATTGAACAGTGAAAAGCTCTAAGATTGCAACAGCTAATTGCAGTCTTAACATAACCAAAATGAATTTATCTTAATAACCAGTACTTTCTTGCCTCTCTCCTATCCCATTTTCTCCTTTTCTTTCCTATACTTTTTCCATTTCTCATTTATACGATTAGCATCATACACATATTCATAGGTGTAACTAGGAGAGAGGGAATGGAGCAAGGAGAAAATTTTTCTCCCTTCGGAAATTTGTCTGTTCTCCTAAATAACATTTAAAGCTAATAATAATCCCCCCCCCCTCTCTACCCCAAAAATGTATACAATATATAACTATTAACGATAATTTGAAAGAAAAATAAGACTTAATAATTTTTTTTTTTGTAATCCATTTATTGTTTAGAATACCTATTTCTACCTATAAATTTCAAATAATTTTGTAAGATATTACACTCATTAACTAAGCCAAATAATACTACACATATTGCCATATTACGCACGCACATTCTCTATATTATTATTATTATATTTATAATTATGGCAATTTAGTTTTTATCAAAAAATAAATTAGAAAAAAACGAATTAAAAATTAATTAAAAATTAATTTTAAATTTTTTTTTAAAAAAAATAAATTTGTAATTTATAATTATAAGAAATTTTGTATCAGTTTCGAATTTTAAGTGTAATCTAATCTATATCATGTAAGTTGTAAAGTATAATTATTCAGACAGGTAGCCAGGGGAAAGGGGAGGGGAAATACCTCCAAAGTCAAAAACAAATACAAGTTTTTTAAAAGCCTTCGTCATTACTTTCTGAGTATATTCTCGGTGAAATGAAATGAAAAAAACCTTAAAGGCTCGATATTTTTTAAGTTAATTATGATATATTTTATGCAATTTATTTCAATAAAAAAAAAGGATATTGACTTAGTTGTTACCATAAAAATCGTAGGCAGTATTTTAGGATGCATTTTTTAAAGGTTCGGTTCCGATTTTGGATGACAAATTTTTTTAACGGTTTAGGTTCAGTTTCTATTCAGTGAAAATAACTTGTTATAATCGATTTAATGGTTCGGTT